TCTTTTGCTTAGCATTACACTCTCTAGATCCATCCATATTGGTGTAAATGGCAAGATTTCAATGTTTCTTCTGGCTGAATAATATTCCTCTGTGTGTGTGTACCACATCATATTTATCCATTCATCTATAGATGGACACTTGAGTTGCTTCCATACCTTGGCCATTGTAAATAGTGCTGCAATAAACAGGGGTGCATATATCCCTTCAAATTAGTGTTTTTGTAATCTTTGGGTAAATATCCAGTAGTGCAGTTACTGGATCTTAGGGTAGTTCTAATTTTTAACTTTTTGAGGAACCTCCATATGGTTTTTCACAGTGGCTGCACCAGTTTGCATTACCATGAACCGCTTACGAGGGTTCCTTTTTCTTCACATCCTCACCAACACTTGTTTGTGTTTTTTATTTTAGCCATCTGACAAGTGTGAAATGATATCTCATTGTGGTTATTTGCACTTCCCTGATAATAAGTGATATTGAGTATCTTTTCATGTGTCTGTTGGCCATCAGTATGATGAATGTCTGAATAGAGAAAGAATGAAAGAATAGAATGAATGAATGAATGGAGAAATGTCTGACGATTCTACTGCTTTTGTCTTTTAATGTTCATACTAGCTTTTTTTTTTTTAAGATTTTATTTATTGAGAGAGAGAGAGGCAGAGACACAGACAGAGGGAGAAGCAGGCTCCATACAGGGAGCCTGACATGGGACTCAATCCTGGGTCTCTAGGATCAGGCCCTGGGCTGAAGGCGGCGCTAAACTGCTGAGCCACCGGGGCTGCCCCATACTAGCTTTTTTTAGTGATCTAACTTTGTTTGCTTTACTCATGATTTTTTTTATTTTCAAAATTTTCTAATTATAATTTATCTTTTTTGCTTAAGTCAACATTTCTTGTAAGGCTGGTGTAGTGGTGATGAACTCCTATAATTTTTGTTTGTTTAGGAGACTCTATTTCTCCTTCTATTCTGAATAACCTTGTTGGTTGGAATATTTTGGTCGTAGGTTTTTCCTTCCAGCACTTTGACTGTATCCTACCATTTCTTTCTGGCCTGCAAACATTCTACTGAAAAATCAGCTTAATGAGATCCTCCTTAAACGTAACTAACTGCTTTTCTGTTGCTACTTTTAAGATTCTTTATCTTTACTCTGACATTTTAATTATCATATGGCTTGGTGTAGATGTCCTTAGCTTCATCTTGTTAGGGGCTCTCTGTTCCTCCTGGACCTAGATGTCTGTCTCCTTCCCCAGGTTAGGGAAGTTTTTAGCTATTTCTTCAAATTTTCTGCCTCTTTCTCTTTCTCTCTTTTTCTCTCTCTCTCTCTCTCTCTCTCTCTCTCTCCTTTTTCTGGGACCTCTACAAAATGAATGTTAGTACACCTGATGTTGTCCTAGAGATCTCTTAATCTATCCTCTTTTTTTTTTTTTTAATGTTTTTAGAGGGGCACCTGGGTGGCTCAGGTGGTTTAAGCATCTGCCTTCGTCTCAGGTCATGATCCCAGGGTCCTGGGATCAAGCCCCGCATCAGCTCCCTGCTCAGAGGGGAGTCTGCTTCTCCCTCTCCCTCTGCCCATCCCCCCCACACACACCTTGTTCATGCTTGCTCTGTCATGCTCTCAAATAAATAAATAAAATCTTTAAAAAGGGGGGGGGAATCCCTGGGTGGCTCAGCTGTTTGGCACTGCCTTCAGTCCAGGGCATGATCCTGGAGACCAGGGATCGAGTCCCACATCGGGCTCCCTGCGTGGAGCCTGCTTCTCCCTCTGCCTGTGTCTCTGCCTCTCTCTGTGTGTGTCTCTCATGAATAAATAAATAAATAAATAAAATCTTTAAAATAAATAAATAAAACTAAAATAAAATGTTTTTAGTATTTTGCTATTCAGCTTCAGTGCTTTTCATTATCCTGCTTTCTAGATTGCTGATCATTTCTTCTATGTCCTCACCTACTGTTGATTCCCTTCAGTATATTTTTATTTCAATTACTTTATTCTTCTACTGGTTGGTTCTTTATACTTTGTTGAAGTTCTGAGTTTATCCACTCAAAGTCCAGTGAGCATCTTTATGACTATTACTTTGAATTCTTTATCATGTAGATTGCTTGTCTCTTTAATTTTTCTGAAATTTTGCTTTGTTCTTTTGGCACATATTCCTGTCTCATTTTGTTTGATTTTCTATTTCTGTGAATTAGGCAGAATAGGTTATTTCTCTTAGACTTGAAGTAATGGCTTTGTGTAGGAATATCTCTGGCGTACACCATGGCTGTAACTTTAGCTGGATGGCTGAAGCTCTAACAGGTGTAGGCTGCCCTGCAGGGATGGCTGGAGCTGAAGCAAGCTGGCTAGGGGGTCCCCTGGCACTACACACAGAGACGCCCTGGTAGGACAGCTGAAACAGGTACACGTCGGGGGGTTCTGGGGCACTCCAGGCATGTAGCACCCTGGTAGGTTGGATGGAGCCAAAGCAGGCAGCAGTATGCGTGGTTGAGAGGGGGTCCTACAATACTCTGCACATGGGGCACCCTGGTAGGACAGCTGCTGTTGAAGCAGGTATGGGCTGGGAGGTCCTGGGCCACTTGGTGCAGTAGGGGCCTCATGAGTCCTCTACAGCTGAAGCAGGTACAGGCCTAGTATGGTGCATGATGATTTGTGCCTGTGGTTACCTTGGCAAGACAGCTGGAGCTGTAGTGGGTGATGTCCAGGGGTGATTCAGTGTGCACTGCCCTGGGGCTACCTTAGGGAGACAGCTAGAGCTCTAGCAGGCACAGGTTGGAGGGCCACCTTTAGGGGCAGCTGGGTTTGGTGTGGGCCCGGGGTCTGGGCACGCACATACCAGCACCTTGGATACTATAGCATTCGGAAGCTCCCTGCACTTTTAGCAGATACCCTAAGGCTCATTCCTTTATGTTCCCGTTGTCCTTTTAATCTATAGCTTTTTCCTGTGCAGCTGAGGCTCCACTGAAGCAGTGGGCCAGCTTGGATACCTGTACCCTGCTCCTATGTTATCAGGGTAGAGAGGGAACATAAACCATGCTGCTGACCCATACCTGTGACCCACAGAGACCGTTCTTGTAGCTCCCTGCCATTTGTCAGATGCTTTAGAGATGGTTCCTTTATGTTCTACATGCCCTTTTAAAGTGTGGTGCTTTTTTTTTTCTGTACTCCTGGTTCCTCGGTACAATTTACCCACTGCAGTTTGCAAGATGGCGAGGAAAGTCTACCTCCTCTGACTCTTTGGTTTTATTTTAGCTAAAGTTATTGTGGGGGAGGAACACTTTATTCGTGTCAAAAAAGCCAGTTGACTTCTGGGTTCCATCTTCACTGCAGGAAGTTGCCTCAGGAAAAACTGGCCACAAATGCCTAAGTTTGCCCAAGTGCCCAGCTTGGACTTGGTACTGGAAAGCTTGGTATTGTCCTGTTTCCTAACTACCTTTGGGGAATACCTGCAGATATAAAGCTCATTAAAGTGTGAAAACCTGGTTCTGCATTCTCCACCTATAAAGAAATACAGGAGAGGTGGAGAAGGAATACACTATAGCGGTTTTCCCATGTAAAACTCTATGGATTTCACTGGACTGTTGGAGTCACCCTGGACCCCAGTCATCTCCCATTCTTGCTAAGATAGCTTGAGAGATAGAGAATTTACTACCTCCTCAAAATCCCAGCTGTCTTTGGACAATGTGACAAATATTTCACTTCTGCTTTCTGTATGAGATGGCTAAGCAAGGAAGAAATCTGAGAAAAAAACATTTCCACACTCACTACGGTGGAGTTGCTTCACTGATTCCTTGAGCTTTATTGATTGAAATCTGAGGATTTTTTTATTTATATTTGATTTCCTTGGTGGCAGTGGCCAGTGTTAAAAAAGCATCTGGAAGACCTTTGTGGTAAGTTAAGACTATTCAAGGATAGAAGAATTTTCTCCCCAAAACTTTTCCAGAAATGTAACTTAAAAAGGCTCTATAAAGCATACTCTTTGGAGATTATAATTATAATCTATGCATAATTATATGAAGTTATATATGTAATTTATGGAAAGTAATGGTCTTAATCCTTGATTAGTAAGCATGACTTTTAAAAAGTGAATATTTAGGGCAGCCCCGGTGGCGCAGCAGTTTAGCGCCGCCTGCAGCCCAGGGTTTGATCCTGGGGACCCTGGATCGAGTCCCACATCAGGCTCCCTGCATGGAGCCTGCTTCTCCCTCTGCCTGTGCCTCTGTGTGTGTGTGTGTGTGTGTGTGTGTGTGTGTGTGTGTCTATGAATAAATAAAATATTTTTTTAAAAAGTGAATAGAGGCACCTGCGTGGCTCAGTCATTGAGCATCTGTCTGCCTTCGGTTCAGATCATGATCCAGGGGTCCTGGGATCAAACCCCACATGGGGCTCCCTGCTCAGTGGAGAACCTGCTTCTTCCCCTTCCACTCCCCCTGCTTGTGTGCACTCTAATAAATAAATAAAATCTTTAAAAATATATAGTGAATGACATTTTATTGAAAATTACTTTTGAAAATATATGCACTCAATCGTTAGGAGTATTTACTGGAAATGGCTTGGGAAAGAAGCAGTGTTCTAGAAAATTAAATTCTTTGTAATTCATAATGAAAATGTTAAGGTTTCATCTAAAAGGTAATCTTGTTTATCATTTATTATGGGTTTTTTTTTTCAGGTGATATAAACATTCAATATGGTTTTAAAGCAGTTCTCACCTCTAAGCTGCTTTCCACAACCTCTTCCCCAAGGGGAAAGACTTCATTTTCATTTCTGAGAACTTGGTAGCTTTTCCTGGCATAATGAAGAACGTGTTACAGATTCAGGCTTTTAGGTTTCTTTCCATACTTAATATGCTTGATCTTTCATTATTTTCCTGAGATTTCTTCTCTGCCTTTATTAGTAAAGCCTTCTGTCTCTGGGAATTCTGTTAAATCTGAAACTTCATCCCTCTGCTGTGACAAAATCCCCTCAGTCCTCATTTCATGGATGTGCATTTAATTTTTTTGGTCTTTTCAGACTGACCCCAATTCTTGGCATTCAGAAACATTCTCGGGAAAATGTGGTGTTTACACAGTTTATAGAGACTTTGCTTGAAGAATTACACTTAAAGAATGAAGACCTTGAAAGCTTAACTGTCATATTTAAAACCAGCTGTTAACCGGAATGGTGAGTTGGATTCTGTTTTACTTTGTTTTTTCATTTTTTGCCCATTTGAATTCTTTTTTCATATTTGAAATTTTCAAAACCAAGTATAGACCTTAAGATATCCTCCAATTGCAAAGGAAGAACATGATATCCCTTAGTTCTCAGCTCCTGTTACTTTCTGCCCCATCCTTGTTATTCCTCCTTATTGGCTATTGCAGTTAGTTCTGTTTCTGGTACTCCAGAAAACTCCCTTCTACCAGCTCCATAGTCAAACCTAGACCATTCCTCATGTCCCATCTAATTGGTTGAAGTAAATTGGTGTCTCTTGGGAAGAAACATAACTACTGCAGCAATCCACTGAGGACATCCTCATCCTACTTCCTTCTTGGGGAGACCACCCCCAACCCAGCCAATACCTAAGTCATCTCCTGGGCATCTAGATAAGCAGGTGAATGTCCAAGTCCGACTGTTGAATCCTGACCCTGCTCCTTGGCACACAACCCTCCCCTGGTCTCCCAGACTCTTGCCTCTTTCACAACTATCAGTGTCCCCTCCCTCACCCTGCCTTCCACATACCTCTCTCCCTTTCCTCCACTTCTCACTTCGTTCTCTCAGGTGCTCAGATAGGTATTGACTTAATGTTATGATTGAAGAAATTCAGCTGAAACTACAAGTGAGAACCTCCTAGGGAACATTTTCCCTTTAACTTTCAATTTCTTAAATTATACAAACTTGTAAAAATTAGACAATACAAAATTGCATATGGAATTTAGAAACGGAAAAATCCCCTTCTCACTATGCCTCTAATCCTGTCTACTTTGCAGAAACACATTTGATAGATACCATTCCATTTTTTGTAAAAGCAAAACCAAAAAACTCTTCAAGCACGTTTTTAAATATATGAGAAGGATATTTGAGAGAGGAATTTTGGCAGAGAAGAAAGAACAACATCTCTTTATTGAACATGCTCAAAAATTGAATGTAAGGAGTCAGTACTGTCAGTGCCTCCCAGTTTATACTCAGTGGCTTTTTCAAATGACCCTACTCCCCTGAGGACCTTGTAAAACAAACGCTTTTATTCAGGGAATGAGTATAGTGAAGTTGGAGCTCTTTGTTTTATTGAGCTTCAGATACAGAAACTTGATAAAGAATGCCTTAACCAGAGGTCTTTCCAGATCTGCTTTAATAAATAGTACCATGTAAGAATCATTTTAATTAACATATTTGAAATGTGCATGTAAACAGATGTTGAAAGTCCTCAAAGTACTTGAACACCAGTAGATGTTTGAAGTGGACTTGACAGTACCTCTGTGATCACTGTTTACTTACCTAAACAGTGTAAATAATCAAGGGTAAACCTTTGTCCAGACTTTGTCAATATTATGAGATTCTGAATGAATTGAGCCCTCATACATAGTTTTCACTATAAGAAACAGATAGTTGTGAGTACGTAGATCAGGTTTTGTTTTGTTTTGTTTTGCATGATTTTTATTAATCATGAGTTCACTTGTATATAAAGACTAATGTCTAATATACTTGCTAATAGTAACTGAATATTGAAAAGGTTGTGTTAATATGTTTTCACTTGCAAATAAAAAAAATCCAGCTTTTCTTTTGCTGCTTAACAAATTACTTCAAAGACTTTGTTTTAAGCCACTACCAGTTTTTTAATCTCACATTTTCCATGAGTCAGGAATCTGAACACAGTTTAGCTTAGGGTCTGTAGCTCAGTCTCTCATGAGTGTACAGTTATTATAGTGTCCTCTGAAGGCCCAACTAGAGGAAGATCCCCTTATAAGGTCATTCTTATGGTTGTTGGTAGGATTTAGTTCCTCACAGGCTGGTGAATTGAGGGCCTCACTTTCTCACTGGCTGTTGTCCAAGGACCTCCACTTAGTGTACCTCATGCTTGTAAATGGAAGCCACAGCTTTTTTGTAACTAATCTCAGAATTGACATCCCATTACTTTTTCTATGACTAGTTAGAAATTAATCACAGGTCCACCTCACATTCAAGGGGAGAGGACTGAATAATGGCATGAATACCAGAGACAAGGATCATTGGTGGCCATCTTCAAAGCTGAATGGTAAAATTGTTAAGTAGTTTCCAGCTTCATATGTAGTATATTACACTGTCTTTTTTTTTTATAAATTAATTTTTATTGGTGTTCAATTTACCAACATACAGAATAATATCCCGTCAAGTGTCCCCCTCAGTGCCCATCACCCATTCACCCCACCCCCCGCCCTCCTCCCCCTCCACCACCCCTAGTTCATTTCCCAGAGTTAGAAGTCTTTATGTTCTGTCTCCCTTTCTGATATTTCTCGCACATTTCTTCTCCCTTCCCTTATATTCCCTTTCACTATTATTCATATTCCCCAAATGAATGAGAACATACACTGTTTGTCCTTCTCCGGTTACTGTGGCCAAGTTCAAAAAGGGTGTTGCCTGAGTTCTCCTCTAGGATTTTGATGGAATCTTGTCTCACATTTAGATCTTTCAACTATTTTGAGTTTATCTTTGTGTATGGTGCAAGAGAGTGGTCTAGTTTCATACTTCTGCATGTGGATGTCCAATTTTCTCAGCACCATTTATTGAAGAGACTGTCTTTCTTCCAGTGGATCGTCTTTCCTCCTTTATCGTATATTAGTTGAGCATAAAGTTCAGGGTCCACTTCTGGGTTCTCTATTCTGTTCCATTGATCTATATGTCTGTTTTTGTGCCAGTACCACACTGTCTTGATGACCACAGCTTTGTAGTACAACCTGAAATCTGGCATTGTGATGCCCCCAGATATGGTTTTCTTTTTTAAAATTCCCCTGTTTGGGGTCTTTTCTGATTCCACACAAATCTTAAAATAATTTGTTCTAAGTCTCTGAAGAAAGTCCATGGTATTTTGATAGGGATTGCATTATACGTGTAAATTGCCCTGGGTAACATTGACATTTTCACAATATTAATTCTGCCAATCCATGAGCATGGAATATTTTTCCATCTCTTTGTGTCTTCCTCAATTTCTTTCAGAAGTGTTCTGTAGTTTTTAGGGTATATTTTGAGAACCATTTGAATGGTAAATGGTTCTCCAACCTTTTATTTTCAGGTTGTAGGTGTCCTTCTGTCTAAAATGAGTCTCTTGTAGACAGCAGATAGATGGGTCCTGCTTTTTTATCCAGTCTGAAACCCTGCGCCTTTTGATGGGGTCATTAAGCCCATTCACGTTCAGAGTTACTATTGACAGATATGAGTTTAGTGTCATTATGATATCTATTTAGTCCTTGTTTTTGTGGATTGTTCCACTGAACTTCTTTTTAAAGGGGAATTTTAAGAGTCCTCCTTAAAATTTCTTGCAGAGCTGGTTTGGAGGTCAGATATTCTTTCAGTTCCTGCCTGTCTTGGAAGCTCTTTATCTCTCCTTCCATTTTGAATGAGAGCCTTGCTGGATAAAGTATTCTTGGTTGCATGTTCGTCTCATTTAGGACCCTGAATATATCCTGCCAGCCCTTTCTGGCCTGCCAGGTCTCTGTGGAGAGGTCTGCTGTTACCCTAATATTCCTCCCCATGAAAGTCAGGGACTTCTTGTCTCTTGCTGCTTTAAGGATCTTCTCTTTATCTTTGGAATTTGCAAGCTTCACTATTAAATGTCGAGGTGTTGAACGGTTTTTATTGATTTTAGGGGGGGAATCTCTCTATTTCCTGGATCTGAATGCCTGTTTCCCTTCCCAGATTGGGAAAGTTTTCAGCTAGGATTTGTTCAAATACATATTCTGGCCCTCTGTCCCTTTCGGCGCCCTCAGGAACCCCAATTAAACGTAGGTTTTTCTTCCTTAGACTGTCATTTATTTCCCTTAATCTGTCTTCATGGTCCCTTAATTGTTTGTCTCTTTTTTCCTCAGTTTCCCTCTTTGCCATTAACTTGTCTTCTATGTCACTCACTCGTTCTTCCACCTCATTAACCCTCGTCGTTAGGACTTCTAGTTTGGATTGCATCTCATTCAATTGATTTTTAATTTCTGCCTGATTGGATCTAAATTCTGCAGTCATGAAGTCTCGTGAGGCCTTAATGCTTTTTTCTAGAGCCACCAGTAGCTGTAGAATAGTGCTTCTGAATTGGCTTTCTGACATTGAAGTGTAATCCAGATTTTGTAACTCTGTGGGAGAGAGGGCTGTTTCTGATTCTTTCTTTTGAGGTGAGGTTTTCCTTCTAGTCATTTTGCTCAGTGCAGAGTGGCCAAAAACAAGTTGTATTGGAACACGGGGGAGTATCACTGGTCCGTCTAGCTGGTCTTCTGGGGGAGGGGCCTGCTGTGCTGATTTTCAGGTGTTAGCACTTGGGGGAGCTGTTCTGCCCCTGCCTGCTGTAGGGCTCAGCGGGGGTTGTTTACCCCGTGAGGCCCCAGGAGGAACAGCCGCAGTTGCTATGGCAACTCTGGAAGCCTGGATTCAGCCTCCGCAGGAACTACGGGGCTCGGGGCTCTCAGTTCTCCGTCTGCAGGGCCTGGAGGCTCCGGGGCGGGGCCGCTGATCTGCTCAGCTCGGGGCAGGAGCGTCCTCGCTGTCCTGGGCCCTCCCGGCCTCTGCCTGTCCCGGGGAAGGCCGGATCCTGGGCTGTGTCCCGGCACCCTGTGCTCCCGGCCTTCGCTGTTGGATTTGCGCTCCCGCCCCGCAGCCCCCTCCGCGGAGCCGCCGCCCGAGCCCCTCCGAGCTGCTCCAGTGCGCGCTGCAGCCCTTAGGGAGCTCAGCGCACTCTCCTGCGCTCGCAGGTGTCTGTTAGTGACCCCGGGAGCCCGAGGGCATCCCCGCTCTCCTGGGTCCTGCTCTAACTCCCTGCGAGCCCCTTTCCACCCGGGAAGGTTGGTGCAGCTCCTGCTTCTCCGGGACGGGGCTCTCCTGTTCTGGGGACACTCGCCCCGGCCTCAGCCCGGCTCCTCGCAGGGCCCCTCCCCCTCGGAGGCCTTTTGTTTATTTCTTTTTCCCGGTCTTCCTACCGTGATAGAAGCGCGAACTCTTCTCATTGTAGCATTCCAGCTGGTCTCTCTTTACATCTCAGGCCGAATTCGTAGATTTTCAGGATGATTTGAAGGTTATCTAGGTAATTTGGTGGGGACAGGTGATTTGGGGACCCTGCTCTTCCGCCATCTTGCCCCCGAACTATATTACACTGTCTTGGTAAGAGTCTTGAACTTCACACTAATTGAGGGCATCCTGGAACCAATCCACAAGCCCACAGGATTGCTATTAAACCAACCAGTGGGGGGCACCTGGGCAGCTCAGTGGTTGAGCGTCCAGGTTAGGACCCCAGGGTCCTGGGATCAAGTTCTGTATCAGGCTCCCTGCAGGGAGCCACCTTCTCCCTCTGCCTATGTCTGTGCCTCTCTGTCTCTCATGAATAAATAAAATATGTATTATTTATGTATTTATTCATTCATTCATTCATTTATGGCAAGGGATGGGGAGACAGAAGAGGATTTTCTTAACTGAACTAGACTCATCAATCACAGCCTTCTCTCAAGCTGAAGGGGAGTTGGGTCTACTCCACATAAACTACTATTGCTATATAATGAGGGAAAATGCAATGTATATTGGGAAGACAATACAAGAGTGTTCCCAAAAGCTAGTAAAATACCTTTTACTATTTTAGATGTTTTATTCAGACTGTCCTTTTTGCTTCACAGGTATAATCCATGAAGACCAAATAGAAGGTAGACTTCTATTCATCATTTCTGGAATTCTACCTACAATAATGTTCCAGTGGTGACTGTTAACTAGCTTTGTTCTAAGAAAGACCTTTAACTCCTTAGATTTCAGCCCCCTGCTTCCCAGTCCCTAACTGTACAGTGACTTCCCCTTGATTGAGGAGAACCATTATTCCAACCAGGATAACCAAGTCCCTGTATTCCCTAGCATTAAGACATAGTATTTTTATTTACTTGAAAATGAAAATTGAAGTCTTAAGTTGAAACTTTAATTTTAATGACCTCATTTTTTTCTGGATGATTGCAGCCATCATATCAGTTGACAGAAACATTTAAGAACATTCCTATTTTGGCCTTGCACTCTAAACTCTAGATTCTAAGCAGCCAGAAAGAGGTCAATAAATGCAACCTAAAATGAAGCCCTTTGGAAGTCTAGTCATTATTCTTTTAAAGAAACTGTGTTATAAAATGGTCCTGAGCAATGGAATTTATTGTAGAAGTCCAAAACAGGAGTATCCCAGAATTTTCTGGACTCAAAGAAATAAACTAGTTTGTTTTCAAAAGAGACAATTATTAGCATTTACACATTCAAACACTTACTAAATTTAACAAAAGTACAAGACTTGGGGTATGCATCTGACTCTTGGTTTCAGCTCACACTCAGCTCATATAGTCTGCTTGAGATTTGCTCACCCTCTCCATATGCCCCTCCCATTCCTGGTCTCTCTCTAAAGTAAAATCTTTTAGAAAATATATTGGAAAAAGAGCACAAGTAGGAGGCAGAGGCAAAGAGAGAGCAGTAGACTCTCCTCTGAGCAGAGAGACTGACATGGGCTCAATCCCAAGACCCTGGGTCATGACCTGAGCCAAAGGCAGATGCTTAACCAACTGAGCCACTTAGGTGCCCCTCAAATAAATAAATCTTTAAAAATAAAACGAGGGGTGGAGGGGCCTTGGATCGCTTAGGTAAGCATCCAGTTTGTTTCAGCTCAAGTCATGTTCTCAAGCGTTGTGAGATTGAGCCCCACATTCAGCTCAGCATGAAGTCTGCTTGAGGTTCCCTTTCTCTCTCCCTTTCCCACTCGTGCACTTGCTCTCCACAATAAATCTTTAAAAATAAAAAAGTGGGGGATCCCTGGGTGGCTCAGCGGTTTAGCACCTGCCTTCGGCCCAGGGCATGCTCCTGGAGACCCGGGATCAAGTCCCACTTCAGGCTCCCTGCATGGGGCCTGCTTCTCCCTCTGCCTGTGTCACTCTGCCTCTCTCTCTCTGTGTCTCTCATGAATAAATAAAATCTTTGAGAAAAAAAGTATAAGACTTGTACAATGAATACTATAAAACAGACATTAAAGAAGGTATAGAGATATTCCAAGTTTATGAATTAGAAGTTTTAATTAAGATGTTAGTCCTCCCCACATTGATATAGATCAATGCAATCCCTCTTAAAATCCCAGTAGGCTTTTTGAAATATTTTCAAGTCAATCCTAAAATTTCTAGGGAAATACAAGGGATTTCCAAAATAGCCAAAACAATTCTGAAAAATACTTCCTGATTTTAAAACTTACTACAAAGCTACAGTAATCAATACAATATGATACTCTTAGGCATGAAGGTAAGAGGTCAGCTGGGAAGAAGGCTGAGTACAAGGGTGTTGAGCTATCCTTATCCCGGGATACAAGTAGGTAATAGATCAGTATAAATAACCCAGAAGATGACCCGAAGCCTGGCAGAATAAACTTCACAACTAAATGGCAGAGAAGAGGCCACATCAAAGACAGTAGAAAGGGCAAAGACGTCTGGGAGCGAGGCAGACTAGAACCATCCACAGTGGGTAGGTAGCCAGTGGCACAAAGGACAGAAAACAGACTTTCACACCGGAGAGCCCATAAATGGAGAGGACGAATCTCCATAATACTTACCTTTGAAAGTGAGAGGTGGCAAATTTCTTGAGGTCCTACAACCAGTGGGAGTTAAATGGCCAGAATTTTAAAATGAGCAGGGTCTTAAATGGCTGGTATTTTAAAATCAGTAGGCTCAGCTCCAGGAGAACCTGGAGGGTATCAGGATGCAAAGCTCCTGCCCTTAAAGACTGTACAGATACAGCATGGAACCAGCAATTTGAAAAACACCAAGGATAGAGGGAAAGGAGAGTGATTTGTTCATCTCAGTGTGACCTCGAGAGAGGGATCACGGCAAGACCCCTCCAGGAACAAAGGAACTTGTGGGTGCCATTTTCCTCCATCCTCCATCCCCCCATATAAACTACAGACACCTGCAGGAATCATTGCAGCATCAACACTTGTTACCTGTCTTAAACCAAGTCCCACACCCACACTTCTGCAAATCCACCTTCCCCAGTCGCGGTCACCCCAGTTCAGTCACTGTGGGCCCCCTCCCCCCAAAGACCAGTGGAAACCCTGCCAATGCTACATCTGACTGACATGTTGTACAGGAACTCCATTCTGGCAGGGGCAGGTCTCCTTTCACTAGCAGACCACCACACGCCTTGTTAAACACTGCCCACAATAGGCAAAGACAGCCTCTGCAGACAACTGGACTGAAGGGAAAAAAGAGGGCAAGATTCAATAGCAGAGCACACACAACACCCATAGGAGACATTCCCTGAGACACCAGGCCCTGGAGAACAAGAGACACTGCACTACAAGGCACAACAGGACCTCTTCTAAAGAAGGCTATTACACTTAAGAGCAAGAGAAGGTGCTGACTTTCCTAACACAAAGAAATAGAAACAGGAAGTCAGACAAAACAAGGAGACAGAGAAATAGCTCTCAAATGAAAAAATAGGACCAAACCACAGCAAGATATTAAAGCAAAACAGATGGAAGTAATCTGCCTGATAGAGAATTTAAAGTAATGATAATAAAGATACACTGGACTTGAGACAAGAGTTGCGAATATCAGTGAGACCCTTAACAGAGATTTAAAAAAGCACTAATCAGATCAACAACACAATAAATGAAATTAAAAAACACCTGATGGAAAGGGAGACAGAACATGAGAGACTCCTAACTCTGGGAAATGAACAAGGGGTGGTGGAAAGGGAGGTGGGCGGGGGTGGGGGTGACTGGGTGACGGGCACTGAGGGGGGCACTTGAGGGGATGAGCACTGGGTGTTATGCTATATGTTGGCAAATTGAACTCCAATAAAAATAAATGAATAAATAAAAATACACCTGATGGAACATACAGCAGTCTAGATAAAGCAGAGAAAATAAAAATAATGACTTGGAAGACAGAGTAATGGAAAGTATCCAAGCAGAACAAAAGAGAAAATAAAATTATGCAGATTGAGAATAGTCTTAGAGAACTGTGACTCCATCAAATGTAATAACATTCACATTATAGGGATTTCAGAAGAGAGAGAAGGTAGGGGAGAAAATTTGAGGAAATAATAACTGAAAAATTTCCTAATCTGAGGAAAGAAACAGATATCCACATCCAGGAGGCACAGAGATACACACACACACAATTCAACCTAAGGAATTCCACATCAGGACACATAGTAATTAAAATGGCACAAAATAGCAAGAAAATATTTGCAAAGCATCAAGAGAAAAGACATATAAGGGAAACCCCATAAGGTTATCAGCAGCTTTTTCAGCAGAAACTGCAGGCCAGAACGGAATAGCAGGATATATTCAACATGCTAAAAGGGAAAAACCTATGGCCAATATCTAGCAAGGACATTGTTCAGAATATAAGGAGAGATAAGAGTTTCTCAAACAAAAACTAAAGAAGTTCATGAGCACTAAACCAGCTCTATAAGAAATCTTAAAGGAGACACTAAGTGGAAAGACCATAAGTTCAGAGTATAAAATGGAAAAAACAAAAGCAGTAACAAGTATTTCTGTAAAAATCAATCAAGGGATTCACAAAAGTATATAAAATATACCACCATATATCTAAAATTTGTGGTAGGAGAAGAGTAAAGGATGGCTTTGAACATAAGTGACCATCAACTACTGTATAGTATGTAAGATACTATACATCAACTTAATGGTAACCACAAATCAAAAACCAGTAACAAATATTAAAGAATAAAGAGAAAGGAATTCAAATATATCACTGAATGAAGCCAATAAATCGTGAAAGAGAGCAAGGATTAGGAAAAAAATCTATAGAAACCACAAATAGGTAATAAAATGGCAATAAGTACATATCAATAATTATGTTGAATAACAATGACTAAATACTCCAAATCAAAAGACAGAGTGACAGAGTAAATTAAAAAAATAAGATCCATCTATATGCTACCTAGAAGACAGTCATTTCAGACTGAAAGACACCTGCAGATTGAAAGGAATTGGAGATACATTTATCATGCAAATGGATGTCTAAAGAAAGGAGTAGTAGTACTTAGACTGAATAACCTTTAAAACAAAGACTAACAACAGATGAAGGACCCTATGTACTAAGAAAGGGGATAATCTAACAAAAGGATATAATAATTATACACATTTATGCACCCAACATGAGAGCACCCAAATATATAACTGTTAGTAAGAAATACAAAGGAAAAAAAAAAAAAGAAATACAAAGGAAGTAATGGATAGTAATACAATAACAATAGGGACTATAACACCTCACTCATACCAATGGACAAACCAAACAAAATCAATAAGGAAACAATTACTTTGAATGACACACTGGACCAGATAGAGTTAACAGACATATTCAGAACACTCCATCCTAAAACAGCAGAACACACATTCTTTTAAAGTACATATAGGATGTTCTCCAGAAGAGATCACATGGTAGACCATAAAACAAGTCTCAATGATAAGAGAAACAAAAATAAAAACAAAAATCCAAGTCATATCATGCATCTTTCTGACCACAACAGTATGGAAATCCATCACAAGAAAAAAAAAATCTGGAAATACAAATACATGGAGGTAAATAACATGCCTCTAAAAATGAATGGGTTGTTGGGGATCCCTGGGTGGCGCAGCGGTTTGGCTCCTGCCTTTGGCCCAGGGCGCGATCCTGGAGACCCAGGATCGAATCCCACGTCGGGCTCCCAGTGCATGGAGCCTGCTTCTCCCTCTGCCTGTGTCTCTGCCTCTCTCTCTCTCTCTTTGTGACTATCATAAATAAATAAAAATAAATAAAAAATAAAAAAAAATAAAAAATAAAAATGAATGGGTTGACCAAGAAATCAATGAGGAAATCAAAATTACATGTAAACAAATGAAAATGAAAACAACAGTCCAGAATCTTTGGGATGCAGCAAAAGTGGTTCTAAAACAGAAGTTTATAGCAATATGAGCCTACCTTAAGAAGGAAGAAAAATCTCAAGCAAGCTAACCTTATACCTAAAAGGAGCTAGAAAAAAAAAAATGTAACCCCAAACCAGTAACAGGAAGAAAATAATAAAAGATTAGAGCAGGAACAAATCAGAAATTAAAAAAACAACAGAACAAATCAATGAAACCAGGAGTTGGTTCTTTAAAGAAAATCAACAAAATTAATTGATAAACCTTTAAACCAAACTCATAAAGAAGGGGGGGGGGGCTAAGTAAACAAAATCACTATTGAAAGTGGAGAAATAACCAACACTACAGAAATACAAACGATTGTAACAATATTATGAAAACCTATATGCCAAACAAAGTGGACAACTTAGAAGAAATGGATAAATTTCTAGAAACCTATAACCTACCAAAACTAAACCAAGACAAAATAAAAATTTGAACAGACCAATTACCAGTAATGAAATTTAATCAAGTAATCAAAACGCTTCCAAAAAAACAAAGTCCAGGACCAAAGAGTCTCACAGGTAAATTCTACCAAACATTTAAAGAAGAGTTAATACTTTTTCCTTTCAAACTATTCCAAAAAATATTAGAGTAAGGAAAATTTCCAAATTCAGTCTATTAGGACAATATCACCTGATGCCAAAACCAGATAAAGATATCACCAAAAAAACAAACAAACAAGCAAAAAGAACTATAGGCCAGTATCTCTCATGAATGTAGAGAGAACTATCCTATGATCCAATAATTGTACTACTAGGTATTTACCTAAAAAATACAAAAACAGTAATTCAAAGGAATATATGCACCCCTATGTTTATTGCAGCATTTACAATAGCCAAACTATGGAAGTAGCTCATGCGTCCATCCATAGATGAATAAAGAACATGTGTATATGTGCATACACACACACACACACAGAGATGAATGGATAAAGAAAATGTGTATACATGCATACACATACACACACACACACACACACACACTGGAATATATTTTTCAACCATAAAAAAGGAATGAAATCTTGCCATTTGCAATG